CGAAATTTTAGCTGCTGAGTTAAGAAATAATATAACATCTCGTGTTTGGCTCAAAAAAGAAAATCCAGAAAAAGCTTTATGTTTCAAAAGCACGGACTGGCTAAAAGATTTTCCCTCGCACATGAAACTAAAAGCCAGAGCCGCATTTTTTAGTTTTCCGCAGCGTGGAACAATAAATAATTCTAATACAAAGATAAGCCGATAAATTGGAATAAATTTTACCGCAGTGCTGACCAATTTACAGATTCATCATGATTGTGTCCCACTTTCGGCTCTCTCAAATCGGGATCAAAGAGGTACCTGCAGCAAAGCCAACGGTAAATAATCGTTTCTTCCAACAGCGGGGCGCAGTGGTTCGCCCACCATAACGCTGTCTCATTCACATATCAATCACAATACACTATTTCCAGATGGTTGTTGTCGCTCCTTACAAGCAAACGAACAAACAAACATAAGCTTGCTAAATGTGTACTGGGATACTAATGTGAATGAGCAAGGCGAAGAATCGCCATTCAGATGATATTCATTTGCGGGAAGTCTTAGTAACCTTCTATCAATGAAACATTCTAGCTGGACATGTTATGAATAAGAATGTGTATCGCGAAGCGTTCGTTACAATTTTATTGTGATTGGGAACTCTGATCGTTTAAAACTATCAATAATAATGAAATACTCATTGTAACCTTACACTATCACTCAGCATTGGAAAGAGCGACTTGAAGTTAGCACAGACATTAGGCAATTTATTTTCATGAGGTATTCGTGAAGAGTCGATGTGAGCTTGTGAATGTGCATTCTGCTCTCAGATTGTCAATTCTTTGGTGACTTTGCCATACTTCACATCAGACCGCAATCGAATAACACTCTTTAATCTCAAAATAAAAACGGTTCACACATGTTAGAGCATAAAAAATCATACATATTTTTCGTCCAATCAATGTTTGACAAGCTGTAGGTCATATGTAACCATATGATTTTTCGTCCAATCAATGTTTGACAAGCTGTGAGGTCATATGTAACCATATGCCGTATCCATGTATGATGAACTCAATACAGCTTCCTATTTTTACAGTAGGATCTGAATGTGGCCTAAAAAATCATCACCGCTGTGCTTTTGCTCCTTCTGCACACTTTATGATGAACATATTATGGAATTCACGCTTTCTTGAACGATTTACATTCAAGACCTTATCCTACTTTAGTGCCTGCTGTTTCGTAACAGTTGAAGATGCCAGTTTCTGATGGCGACTTGACATTGAGCAACTCTTATAGTTTTAGGTTAATGAACGCCTAACAAATCAAGTAGATGAATGGATTATATGGTTTCTAAACTCTATGCAGTCATGGAGATTGGGTTAATATCAATCGTTCTGTTTCAAACTAAAACTTGCATTATACCCAATAATGTGGGGTGTTGTGCAAAAAACATATTACATATTATTAAACATATTGGGTATATCACAAGGTCATACCACCGCAACTGGCTGTCAGATAAAAAGAATTCTGATTGATTATCGATACTCAATACCTGTCAGCACAAGTTGGTTCAATGCCGATGGCGGCTGCCCCGCCAGACCTTCGACGGTTGGCTGTTGACAGGTAACGCTTTGTTAGCGTAGAAAGAGTGCTGTGCAAAACAAGCGTCGGTGGTGCAACGCTTAGCATACGCTCGCGGAAAGAGTGAGATCTGGGTTCAAATCCCGGCTGACGCAAATGTTTTTCACAGCATTCCACATTATTGAGTGTATTACAAGATCTTAGCACCGCAAGTGGCGGTCAGATAATAAGAATTCTGACTGAGTGTCGAAGCTTGCATTGTTTACGTACAAACAGCACTTATGTTAGAGCATCAGTCAATATTGCTTCAGTTCACATAAACTTATTGGACGACCCCATAATACGGTCATCTCAGAGCTTCTCATAATGCATGAGTATGAACTGAATATACAAAGCTGTCAAATCAACATTTAGAATTTGACATTTTAAGATCCTTTTTGATGTACACCACTATGTGTTATCGAAAAACGTATTATATTACGTATTTATATCTCCATGTCCTCCATTTACGTGTATGTGTGTATGTGTGTGTGTGTGTGTGTGTGTGTGTGTGTGTGGTGTGTGTGTGTGTGTGTGTGTGTGTGTGTGTGTGTGTGTGTGTGTGTGTGTGTATGTGTGTGTGAGTGTGTGTGTGTGTTTTAGGAAGCTTGTCTACAGTCCCACTTCACATTTTAATTGGTCATTGGCAATCGTTTTTCAACATGTTTGCAGAACAGTTTATAATAAGATCTTCCAAAGCTCTTTATGATCAAGCAAAGCAGGCGGATCGCTAGATGATGACGAGATCAAAGGTGATTTGTTGAGCAATTTGTGGCTTCATGAAGTTGTCTCTTGATTGACAATACTCGATTCAGATGTGCCAGTTTATATCCAAAGCAGGTCAGCTTCGGCCGAAGTCTGTACTACGATTATAGCTAACTTAATCGTCACCAATGATCCAAATTTCGCAGACTGAGTCTATTGTATTTGTGTGAAGGATTATATAAATTGTGAAGAGACAGTAACCTTACCATCCAATCGACTATGGTGGAAACTTGCTTGAAAATTCAACATAAACCAAAACTTAGTCGACCATTTTGGGGCCTCGATTAAAAATTCATGCATCCTGACAGCAGATTTTAAGCCTTTAATGAGGTCTGTTTTGGCATTTATAAAGGGATAGACACGTGTTCGCTTTAAACCTCATCAATAGCGTGTTGTCTTTCGTTGACAATTCTTCGGAGATATACTCCTATACAAGGGCACATGTTGCGCAACTGTTACAGGAGCTCTGCTTCGCATACGAGGTTAATGGTTCGATACCGCCCTCATGGCTCACCAAGCCATCCATCCCTCCGGGGTCAGTAATCTGGTGCCAGACTGGTCTCAGACTTGTCTAGGAGATCAAGCAGTGCTGACTCGGTCGTGTTTCTGTTCAAAAAGGAAGACCTTTACGACATAGGCAATTATCGCCCAATCTGCTTGGTGTCTGTTGTCTATAAACTCTTTACTCGAGTCATCTAAACAGGATTGACAGAACATTGGACGAAGGAACAGCCATGCGAACAAGCAGGGTTCAGAAAAGGATTTATTGCCATCTACCACATCCACACATTACAAGACTCATTCAAGTTTCACGAGAGTACGAACAACCACTCTGTCTCACTTTCATCGATCTGAAGAAAGCCTATGATTTAGTGGAAACAGAAGAGGTTATAGATGCTCTGGATAACCAGGGCATCCCTACTCGGTATATAATGATCCTTCGTGAGCTTTATAAAGTTTTCACGACTAAAATATCGCCATTGTACAACAATACGGATCCATAGACGTAGGAAGAGGGGTTTGACAAGGCGATACAATTTTGCTAAAACTATTCTTTTGCCACCCTACAAAACGTCATGCGAGCATTAGAATGGGACGATATGGGACGACGAGTGAAAATTGACGGTCGACAATTGAACCATCTTCGCTTTGCTGACGATATCGTTCTCATAACACCAAACATCAGCAAAGCGGAACGAATGTTGACCGATTTCGATAAAGCCTGTGGAAAGATAGGTCTTCAACCAAATCTAACGCAAACGATGTTATGAGAAACGGATGGGTTTTGAATGCCCCATTCACGCTCAACGGAACGACAGTCTCTGGATGCTCCAGTTACGTCTATCTAGATCGTGAAATCAACATGATGAACGACCTAGCTCCAGAGTTGAGCAGGAGGAAACGAGCGGCTTGGGAAAGTTTAAGAGCATCGAAGATGTAGTGAAGAGGACAAAGAACATACGACTCCGTGCCCACCTTTTCGACTCGACAATTATCCCTGCCCTGACGTATGCAGCAGAAACCTGGTCGCTACGTAAGCAGGATGAAAGATCACTTGGCGTCATTGAACGCGCAGTCGAAAGGTCGATGTTAGGAGTATCCCATATCTTGCAAATGAGAGAAAGGATCCGAAGTTCCGACCTACGTCAACGATCGAAAATCAGGGACGCCGTTCTACACGCCAGGATATCGAAAATGAGGAGGGCCGGACACGTTATGTGCTTCAACGACAACCGATGTACGAGAGCCGTTACCGACTGGATTCCTCGGGACATCAAGAGCTCTACGCGAAGACCACCGAACCGTTGGTCCGATTTCCTTACGAAAGCTATAGAAGAAAGATTTGATGGTCAGCGAATCCCTAGAGCGAGGAGGACCCACTGGGCTAGATCGCCATATAGGGTGTGTGACGATACATTAGTCCACTAGATTGCACAGTTTGTACGACTGAACTAATATTAGTTGATACTAATAACAGCTATGATATGTACGTCTAGGCTCTGACGAAAGGCGTTGCCGCCGAAACGTTAGCCGTCTAATTTTGAGGAAAAAGAAGTACCAACCTTGTGCAAGTTTTAATTAAAGAAAAGGACATTTCGTAAGAAAATGGAAACTAATAATCATGTGAGTTGATTATTCAAAGTTTAAGTTTGATACAAAAATGAGAAGGTTATGGGAGCATAAGCTATTGATTAAATCTAATGAATGATAGAATTGAGAACGATAAGCTGGTAACTGTATTTTACCTCATGAAGTGAAGAAGCAAGAAGCAAACGTTGAATTTAAATAGGATAAGCTATACTGGAAATTACTAGAATATTGTGGATGCAAGAGAATTAATACATTAACATAGGATAAGATTTTCCAAAAAGTCTATGATGCTTCATGAGATGAGGAAAGAGACTATGTTGACGATAAGAGCAGCGCTTTGCATCGCCTGTCGCATGACTGTGGTAATATCCTTAGGTACGATGTCTGAGGAATTGGTTTGTTAGCGTAGAACAATAAAACATGCAATATACATGTATTTGAATATCGATTGATTGTGTTAGTATGCACCGTAACATGCTTGATTAGAGGGTATTCGGTGAATAAGTCTTTCTAGATAACTTAGAGAATTGAGTGATGAGCAAAAACACGGCCTCAGGCGGAAAGCGAACCCGCGTTTTATCCAATCCGGAGACGCATGCTCTACCACCACACCACCGAGGCACAATTGCCCGACCACTCATTCTTCACCATCTCTATGTTAGCTCGAAAAAAACTATAATAGCTCAAAAAGTGGAAATTCAAGTAGTGAACCTGGGTTGCAAAGACCCTTCGTAGTACGTTCTGCTATGCTAACAAAAAAAAAATAACGTCTTGCTTTTGGAGTGTGTTCCTTCAAATTACAGTAGTTTTTCTTGGTGATGTAAAGAAAAATTTGATTCTAAGCAAACTTTGCCGTTGTAATAGAGTAAGTTATCATTGGAAGGACTTTCATGGACGTCTTTTCAGTGGGCAAAGCGTTATGGTCGCCTAAGTATATCCACTTTTCAATACAGATTTGTATTAAATGTATTTGCCCTGTGTAGAATGTGTTCGTTTCCCTTGCCTTTTTTATCGAACTAAGTTTTTTCACTACACTGCCGATAATCATTCGATAGCTGGGGAATTACTAATCTCAATACTGAGTCTAGTTCGTGAACATACTTTCATGCCGTGTCCTGGCAACGAAAGGAAGATTATGCTCAGATTTTGGAGTATTAAGCACTTGTTTTGATCCTCACAACAAGTTTTGTAGTATTATATAGTAAGACTTTGAATCTAGCAATTTTCGTAGCTACGGAGAGACTGTATAAAACTAAAGGGACTTCTACACACGCATTAATGAAGAACAAGCTCAGTTGCCCTGAAAATTCCCAATTTTTCAATAAGAAAGCAGAGTACATGGAAAAAAATACAAGGGATACGCATTTTTCAGCACATGCTCATATTCAGAACCCACTCGATAGAGTTGCAAGTGTAATATACAAGATAGTAAAACTATTCATAGCACTCCATCTCATCGACTGTTTTCAAACCTCGCTTGAAACATTCAATATAGCCTGTTAACATGTTTGAAGTATTTTCGAAGTCGTCACATGAGAGCCACACGTACGTTTCAGCGGTGTCGCCCGATTTATTAGTGCCCCACGCCCCACAATGAACTCTACGATGTAGCAGTGATGGGGAGACCTTATGGTCATAACACGTGACACTGGGTTATCATCATTTTTGGATGGATTTCTATATTCACTTCTAGCCATTATCCATCGATTGAAAAAATGGCGGTAACACAATATCACGTATTATCGCCATAACGTCTCCCATCCCCGCTATAAAGTATTGTTTAGTGTGGGACATGGGTCACTGATGAAGTGGGTGACACCGCCAACACGTACATATGACTCTGACGTGACAATCTCGAAAAGGCTTCGATCATTCTCACAGACTATATTGAATGTTCATAACGAGATTTCAGAAGAGTCGGTAGATAATATCTGCTTGTCTACTATCAGCCGTGATTCGTCAAGTCAAAAAATGGTGATGACACAATATCACATATTGTCACACATAGTGTCGCCTCATCGCTGTAGTAAAGTATGCAAGAAGTCACTGTGGGCGAGGACCACTGCTGAAGCAGGCGACACCGCCAAACGTAAGTATAGCTCTGACGTAGCAACCTCGTAAGGGCTTGCAACCCTCTCAAAGACTATACTAGGTAATCGTAGTCTTTGAATCAAAGTCTGTTCTTAATCTCCATAAGGTTCCAACTTCAGACGTACACTGATAGTTCAAAGTTGAAGACAGTCATCTATGGGTTGACATCGTATGCAGTGTGCAGCATTATTTTGACGGATTATTATTCTCCTGTAAGATCCACTCACAGTGATGGCTTCGAGGTGATGTACGGAATGAAGTCATGTTGAAACTGAGAGACCTATATCGTAATCTTTGATTGCGTAAGAGCAAATGGTGATTTAAAAAGTACTCGACGATCAATCCATTACTGGCTATTTGAAGGTTATCTCTACCAATAAATAAAGGCAAAATGCTCTTGATATGAAAGATAAATGCAGAATAAAATTTTTTTTGTACTCATATTGTTTTGAATTCGAAAATGCGGCGTCTCAAGGAAAACAGAGGAGCTGTTTCTATATTACAGAGATGAATAATGTTCATAATTAAGTAAAAGTGAATCAATAAGAGTTAAACATAGCTCGTTTCAAAGTTTCGTTACGCCAGTGGCAAAAGTACATTCTGATGGTAACTCTCACCTCGCCAATTTCACACGCTTTACTAGCCGCCTTAGATCGTAGGGAAGGGGAGGCGCAGAGTGTTGAGATCCAACAAAGTGAAATTTTGTCCGCGTCTTTATTCACTTTGCCATGTCTTACCATTCTGCGTCTCCTCATTCCCACGACCTTAGGCGGCTATTGAGATGTCTGGCATTGACAAGGTGAGCTCTTAATAGATTACCAAAAAAAAAGTATGCCACTGGTGAAACAAGGAATCGAAAACGGCTAATTCAATCTCTTTGAATAGCAAGTTATCAAAATATTGGTAAAATGGCGTCGCACTGCGATGTACAGTGTCACTGTTGACGGCAGTTCAATTTGTGGTTGCACTGTCTTGTTTCAACCAAGAATAACCTTAACAAAGTCTTTTTTCGGTTGGAAGAACAAAACTGATTTATGGCACCGACTGTTTTTTGAAACCTTGCAATAAATATTCAAGATAATTCCAAAAAAAAGGATACTCTAAGCCTAAGCGAGGTTGGTGCGTCAGGGCCATACACCAATGTTTCGGAGGTCTCGCCCTTCTCGTCAGTGATCCACGCCCCATACTAAGCCCTGCATTGTAGCAAGGAGAGAGACGTATGTGGTGACAGCACAGTATACAATGGCTAAGGTTTAATGTGGGCGTGGGCCACTGACGAGGAGGGTGAGACCCCTGAATACAGGTGTATGGCCGTAATGTGTCCACTTCGCTTAGTTGAGCATTCTCTTTTTTGAAGTGTTTTCTATCATATAACACTATTTGCTGAGTATTAAATCTTCTTTAGTGTTAAAAATCTAAATTTTACTGGAAAGTTACTACATTGCCACTGTAACGGTCCGTGTTCGCCGCGCCATTCCCTCTCCTGTTCCGCAAGAATCACGGCTGTTTCCAGCTTGCTAATATATACCAGGTAAATGCGATGGCGATGAATTGTGTTAGACTTTCTTCAATCAACTGTATTACCTGTCGTCCCAATGGTTGTCGAGTGAGTAAGCGAGCACCAGCAAGGGTTCAGTTTTTTCCTATTACGTGCAGAAGTAGTCCAATAGCTCACTCCTCCACTGCATATGAAATTAAGAACGCAGCATTTTATTAGCTTGAATAGTTACATAGAGGGAGGAAATGACCACATTATAACATATTTTCGGTGTTAAAGAGGTATAATTTAGAACTATTCTGAATTTCTTACGTGCATGTTCGCTCTGAGCATGTGAATTGAAGTGACCTCTAGCTCAGACTAGACTTTCAACCTATGTGAGCTTCGATTCATCAAGTTATGTGAATGGCGCATAAATAACCTCACTGCCCAAAACACTGAAATTGAGAAGAGACTTGACTGTTTTCTGAATGGAGTGAAGTGAGTTCATGGACATTTCATTGGGATTATAGATTGTTTGCGTATTCCGACTGGAGAGAAAGCATCAAAGTTGTCGATGTATTAGCCTCTGCAGATTAAAACGTGTACCAGCAGAATTTTTCCATTTTCGAAGAAGAGTTTGTGAGAACAAAGTAAATTGTCTAACAATGCTCAAACTAGGTTGATAACCATCTTTCAGATTCTTAGTAATAGTAGTATGAGGATAAAGTGAGGGACATGATCACAGTTGATATTACTGTCAAGTACTATTTCCAAACACGACAAGATTGTGACAAACGCTAGCACTGCATATCTTTCATTTGCTGCTTTTCCGCTTACAGTGCGGACGGAATATAGCAGTGCGGGGCAGATCAAGGTATTATCGTCTGATTTCGTTATAAATGCAATGTTTGTATGTGAGCAACATGCGCTTTTGCCTTGGATAGAGGAGATAGCGTGGATTTAAGCATTTTGGCCAGGACCATGTCTGAAACTGTGTCGTTTTCTCCATTTGTTTATACATTGGTTGTTTCATAATTTTTCAACTGATGTTTTATCACATTTTCCAATTCCAAATCAGGTCATTGCCACAAGGATGATGTATATCGAAAAACTATGTTTGTAACATTAGTCGAAGGTACAATACTACGTCTAGCAGGTTGCTAAGATATTAGGCCAATATACTATCTTCGAGACTCGTCAGCCCAATCAAAGCCCAAGTACCATATTTAGAAGATTGTGCTATCGGTTTTTGGGATCAGCAGGGCTCTGCACTTCTGGGATTTGTTCGACAACAAGCAGACAATCAGTGTCAACGTCTACGCAGAACAATTTAGGAAACTGGATACAGCGGTAGGAAAGAGTTACTCAAAAGAACTCAGTGGCGTCCTCCTTCAGAAGAACACTCAGCCTCACTTTGCAAAGTCGACTCTCACATCTTGGAGAAAAGAGATTGAACCACGGTAATCCATCCATCACGCAGCCCTGATATTGCTCCATTGAATTATTTCTTCCGCCCCCTAAAACAACAAAAGAAATTTATGGGAGAATGAAGTTTAAAACTACAGCCATCTCAAAGCGACCTCTCTGACTTCGTTCATAGCCAACCTCATTTTTTCTGGGAAGAAAACGTCATCCACGCTTTGCTCACCAAAATTATTGGACATGATTGATCATGACTGTGATTATAATGCTACTTAACTGATTTTTTTGAATAAATTTTTTGGCACTTTATTATCTGCCTTCAGAGTGTTTTCTCATGTGTGGATCCCAGTGTTTCTAATGGGTTGGGGGAAAAAGTTCTGAGAAAATGCTTATAAAACATTTATTTATGCACCTATTACACCCGAACAAAGACAAAACTAATATTGAAAGTACTTTCCTTTGATTTCAAGCACATCCTGCCACTTTTCCGGCAAAAGATCGATTCCGAAAACAGATGATCAGCCAGCATCTGAGATGTCAAAAAGATACTTTCTTCAATCGCTTCAAGTACAGCCGCACTTTCTCACAACTTTTTCCCAACCTATTAGCAATCAATCATTTTCTTGTT